CGGAGCCACTGCCCAGTGCTCGGCGGCCCAGACAGCTGCTCGGGTTGGTCGGCATAGTGCAAAAGAAAATTTTCTTTGTAACGTTATATCTTTTTATTATAGATAAATATTTGTGTATGATGAGAATCACATGTTTTTTTTTTGGCTCCTTCACTATTCCTACGGATGCATCGTAACCACACCCATGGAACGCAAATCCCAGGGGTGGACATTTGACTCAACATGCTGTTCATATGTAATTTTCCAACTACACCCAACGAAAATGAAACCCTTTGCCTTTAAATATTGCATTCATCCATGAAAAGTCGACGTAGGAACATGCCATATTCCTATTTCTAATTAAAAATAATTGTAATAGAGAATAAAGGTGACGAATGATATACCCTCTAATTTTGCGTTGTTGGGTTCCTTTGATTTGCTTTGCTTGCCGTGTGCTTAATCTGTGTTCTTTGCTGGAGTGTGCTAGACAATTAAGGCGACATGCGTGACGAGGAAACCGTGCGGAGGCAATGAGACTGAGATCCATTCTCCATGCGAGAAGCTGTCCGTCGGCGTACAATGCAGCTCTGACCGGTGACTCCGTTGGTAGATGGCGCGCGCGCGCGAGAGAGAGAGCGCTCCGATCCGATCCAGTCCAACGGTTTGAAACCGTTGCGTTTTTTAAGCGAGCGAATGGCCGATCACTGATGCGTGGAACTGAAAATGACCATGTCGCCCTTCCCACCTCCCTTCCTTCCTTCCTTCCGGTGGGGTGTGGGGACTGGGGAGGGAAAGGAATTTTCTTTTTCCTGTTCTGAATACTGATACTGATTCCGATCGAGGAGGGAAAGGGAGGACAGCGGAGGGCACGAGGAGGCTGCGGTCGGGACGTCGGGTTTGCTCCTCCTCCACCCCTCCTCCACCGAGCGAGCATCGCATCGCGTGCTTTCCCTGCCGCAGCGGCTAACGCGTGGCCACGCCATCCCTCCGCGTGCCTAATTAATTGGGAGTGGGAAGTGATAGCTGCAGCACCCAGCGCCCATCCATCCATCAGTGACAAGTGAGCGCACCGGCACGCCGCCCATCCATCGCCATCCTCTTCCCCTCTCCCTAGCGATTCCAGAGGAACCCTAGCCTCCTCCTCGCCAAATCCACCACACCATGAGCGCCGCCTCCAAGAAGCTCTTCCAGGCCGCCAGGTCCCTCGTTCTCTCCGCTTCTCAGCGCTCCTCCGCCGCCGCCGTCCTCGCCGCCGGTATGTACTCTTCCTTGGGCCAGCCGCCAGCCCTTGGATCCCTGTGGAATGCCATGCAATCTAATCCATTCCTACACTAGTATTCCCAATCCAAATCACGCCGGGAGGCGGGAGTTGCTGATTGATTGTTCAAAGGTTTCAGCTTTTTAACTAGGAGCGGGAGATATATAAAATAAAATCCGTCTTTGATGTTATGTGCAGAGGGCCGCACCGCCGCGCTCGCCACGCTCACCAACTTCGGCAGGAAGACCCTCCCCACCGCCTACTCCTACCACAGGCAGGGATCCCACCACGCTGCGTCGGGATGGGGAGCCATCGCCGCCGCAGGCCCGGCTGCAGGTTCGTACATACCCTTCGATCCGATATTCCGATTCGACCCCACCCGATCCCATCACTCTGATCTAGCAGTAATCGCTCTGATCTAGCAGCAATCACTCTGATCCCATATGCTTGCTTGTTGAGATGAATGAATTAAACCCTGTTGCCATTCTCACACTGACCCAAATAATTTCCTGTCTGTCCTCTCCCATGCAGTTTACATGCTCCAAGACCAGGAGGCTCATGCTGCAGAGGTACCCTACCCTGATTCTCTCCTCTTCTCGTCTCTTCTGTTTTTTTTCCCTCGCATTCTGGCGGATCCGTGTGGTCCAATAATACCGGAGTAATGGCCACCCCTTTTCTCTCTAAAATCACTGCTTCACCAATCACCATGCTGCCTATATGTCAGGCAGGGTAGGCCAACTCAAACTGATTGAGTGGGCTCCCATGTAATTTTGTCATCCTAATTACAGAATGCCCCACCTTTTCCATCTCCAATTGACATGACCGTGGAGGAGTAATGTCATGTGATCTCTTTAATTTTTTTCCCTTTTCTCAAGCTCACTAACACTCCTCTGCTGTGATTCCAGATGGAGCGCACCTTCATCGCCATCAAGCCCGACGGCGTCCAAAGAGGCCTGGTCAGTACTAGCAACTGTCACAACACCATAGTTTCTTTTCTTCAGATGCAATTCTGGATCTTAATAACCAGTATGCAACTATGCATGTATGTTGCCACAATTGGTAGCTGCAGACTTTCTTTCTTTACAACTTTTGAGGCCTTCTGCTCTGTCCTGTCCTGTCCTGTTCTTGGCCATATAATAATTATTATTTTTAGTTTCTTGAGACGCAATTCAGGATCCTAGTAACCTACTCCCTATGTTCCAAATTATAACACAGTGTGTACACCTTAGTGCATAGCAAAAGCTACGCATCTAGAAAAGCATAACTTCTTATAATTTGGAATGGAGGGAGTACTAGCTTCGTACTGCTTTTCATATACTCAGTTAGCATGTATGCTGCCGCAATAGGTAGGTACACACTACAAACTTTTTGTTTTACAATTTTGAGGCCTTGTTCTTTACATATATATATGTATGTAAATCAACCCACTGCTGCTTTCAACACGCTTCACCTACAGTATACTCTGCATGTTGGACATTCTTTTTTTTTGGTGTCTGATCTTGCCACGTGATCTACCTCGAGATCCTCATTAGCAACTAATTTATGCTGCAAACCATGTGGATACATAGGACAAAAGCCTGCATATGTATTATGTAAAGAGAAATCTGTCCTATCTATTTAGCTCTTCCTATTCCTAAAGGGCTGGGCCTTTCTCCTGATTTCACTGGTATCAAAAGTGGGTTCTCTAGCGCAATACATTGCCTGGTTTAACACACCAAACAAAATATATGCAGGCTGACATGTGAACCATTTCAGTTATTCAGCCCATCACACATTTGCTCTGTTTAGTCTTGTCCCTGTACATTTGTGATGGCATTAATAGGACTGATTTATCTCTTTCCCCCCACAAAAAAAAAAACTCGCTTCAGATTTCTGAGATTGTGAACCGATTTGAGAGAAAAGGCTACAAGCTTGTGGCCATCAAGCTGATTGTTCCATCCAAAGTATTCGCTCAGAAGCACTACCATGATCTCAAGGAAAGGCCTTTCTTCAACGGGTTGTGTGACTTTCTCAGCTCTGGCCCTGTACTTGCAATGGTAAGAACATCTGTCATTTTCCTACAGAAATTGTGCTTACATCGACAAAAGGTGGATCGTGCATAAGCTGAGGTACAATTTCTTTAGGTGTGGGAAGGAGAGGGTGTCATCAAGTATGGGAGAAAACTAATTGGTGCCACAGACCCACAGAAATCTGAACCAGGAACCATCAGGGGTGATCTTGCCATTGTTGTTGGAAGGTATGCTTTCATTTTCTTTTCAATGCACTCATTGGTTTTGCATTTCTTTGATAGCATCATGCAAGCTTATTACAAGTTAGGATTCCTTTGTACTCACATGCCACCACTTGAACACCAGAAACATCATTCATGGAAGTGATGGCCCGGAGACAGCAAAGGATGAGATTGCGTTATGGTTTGAACCCAAGGAGCTGGTCTCTTATACCAGCAATGCGGAGAAGTGGATCTATGGGGTGAATTAACCGGCGAGTCACTTTGTTTTCTTTTCTCTTTTGCTTTCAGTTTTCACATAATTGCCTGACAGACCAAGGCAGGATGTAATAAATGCCCAGTACCGTTGGCTGATTTGTTGTGAAAGAAAAATACTGTTCGTTGGCTGAAAAAATACGGCTTATAAGCCAAGCGAAGGGCGAAAGTCGCTACCGTCACTTTTGAGTTGGATTGCGACCTTCTGGTGCAGTAAGGCACAAGGAAGGAAAGGAAAGGAATATACCGTGAAATATAGAGCGTGCACTGAGTAGTCGCGGTGTTCAAATCAAACTATATATCACCTTCACTGGAGTCATGTAATCCAAGACGGCGATGCAGATGTTTCTTTGGAATTATTTCTACATATCCCTACCATGATGATGGCGCACCGTCTGTTTTTGCTCTTGTTTTTGGGTGAGATGGTAGATATTATTCTGGAGTTATGCGGGTTTTTTTTACGACAGAGTTAGATTAGACATTACTTGTGGTGAGACTTTGGATCTATTATACAAATCCCAACCACCATGAGGCTCACTTCTATTTTTGCTCTTGTTTTTGGGTGAAAGGGTAGATATTATTATGGAGCTATGGGATTAGACATGTGGTGAGACTTTGGATCTATTCTACAAATCACTACCATCATGATAGCCTACTGGCTCTTTCTGCTCCTGTTTTTGGGTGAGAGGGTACATATTATTCCGGAGCTATGGGATTAGACATTATTTCTGGTGAGACTTTGATGGACAGAATACCATCATGATTAGGGCGTCGAAACCATGGTCATTTCTCGTACTTAAGTCAGTTTTCCCTTTGCTTGATGGTTAGAAGCTCCGTTGCTTTAACCACCCCAGGGAATGCAAGCAATATTAGCCTGGGCACTGGTTCCTGTTGCCAGGACGGTAACAGTTCATGGCTAGCTCAGAGCCTTCAACGATGGAAGTTCAGGAGTGCAATGCTAAGAGCCAGATTCAGATCAGATATAATAACATGCCAAGCAAGAGGGGAGCTGAGTTTTATTGCCATGCCTTTGTACAGGGGCTAGACTACCACTTTCAGCTCTTCACTCCCTTGCACCAGATATTATTACACAGGGGAAGTAGAATAGAATGCAGCCCGAGTGAAACAGAAGAGGTCAATTGAACAGCTAAATGAATTCCGACGGGCTACGCGGTGCCTCTCCACCTCCAGCGCAGAAGGTAGAGTGCCTAGAAGCTTCTAGAAGCCAAAGCTCCATGAAGCTCGCTCTCGACTGGATTCCTTTCATGTTTTTGCCACCACCTAAACGCTTGGCTTTAGCAACTCGCATTCTTCGATCTTGGCAAACCTCCCTCGCACTCTTGGCTGGCTGTCTGCCAGAGCCTTCCTGCAAGCATACTGCAAAGAAAAACGTTGTATCTGTTACCATCCGAGGCGTGCACTCATGAGGCTAAGCCTAGAAGCTGGATTTTTACAGTGGCTGAGAACAATACCTTGATCTTCCTGCCAAAGTTCCGCTTGATCTTCTTCTTTCTATACCTGGAAAGCTTTTGCTTCCTTTCTTCGGTCTTGAGGTCACTGATGGTTACAAGCCTCTCACAAGACGTTTGAGCATTTGCTGCGTGCGCTGCTGGTCGAGGCGTGTTGGCTCCAAGGTTCTGTCAAAAAATGGAAATGTTAAGTGCCTAGCAAATTGCTGCTGCACAAGCATCTACCAGATATAGATGTTCTATCTGCACATTCCTTGAACACAGAATCGCGACAACACATGTACTGAGGTGATGGAACCGTACCAATATCTTGCACACAAAAGTAGCTTGAAAGAAAACAGAATACTGTGCAGAATAGGAAAGCTTGGATCAGCTAAAGTAATGACCTAAAAAAAATAAAAAAGGTTGCTTTGGGCAGATATAGTAACATCCCAAATGGGTGTCATAGCTTGGACGGCCTTTGAGCAAAGCATTTCTGTAAGCATGGCCAGGGCAAGGGAAAAGGCGATGCTTTTTGGTTTTGGTTTGCTTCTCAACGATTCTTTCCTCAACAGCTGTGTTACAGAAAAGACTTTTATGCTGTAAGCGCGTTCTTTTCCTCATAACGAGGATAACTACTTCCTTGTTACTAGAATAGAATAGTACAGGAGAAAAGGAGATGCTTATCAAACCTGAATGTCTCCTTCACTGTAAGCTCTCCTCAGCCCAAACGCTGCCTCAAAGTCCAGCCCTTGGAAGTCTAGAAAGTTTGGCCTGACAGGTCCATTCATCCAATCTGCTGAGTTGAGGCATCCAGAACTAACACTTTTCTGGAGCGAGCATTCAGGAACGCCTTGCTTCTCTTTCTCCATGGCCGGGAGTTGGGTCTGTATAAGAACTTGTTCATCTTGGCTTGGGATTTCTTCAACTTGCAGCATAGGAATCTTAACATCCATAAGTTCAGAAATTGTCTCTTCGATTGCTGACTTCTCCATGAGTTCCTTCTCGCACTCATATAACACTTCACTCAGGAGAGGGTCATTTTGGATGGTGCTGATGCCTGCATCCTTAATAGTTTGTTCCATTGCACTTTCATTGCCAGTCATCATTGAAAAGGCAGCTGCGACAGGATCAAGGCTGAGCAGCGGTTCTTCAATGATGGCTTCTGGAGCTTTGAACAGGTCCCCTTCTCCTCCGAGGTCATATTCTGATACCATGGATGGCTGTACCAAGTCCCCCTGTCCAGTAATTAATAAAACAGAGATGAGAACAATTTCCAATGGGCTAGAAGATGATAAACAACAAGCCTTTAAGTCCCAAACGGCTAGAAGATGATAAACACCATAGAAATTAGAAGCATAGCGGTATATGGATGAAACCCGACGAGTTGGTAAGGACGAGGCAGTGTATATGTCATGGTGTTTAAATCCAGGGGCTAAAGTTTAGGGGTGTCACATCGGATGTTACATGAGGGTGTCACATGGGAGTGCTCGGAGAAGTCATCAAGAATCCGCGAGATGAATCTATTAAGCCTAATTAATCCGGTAGTAACACTTGTTACTGTAGCTTTAATGTAGCACCACATTGTCAAATCATGGACTAATTAGGCTTAAAAATTTCGTCTCACAAAATAGTCGCAATCTATGCAATTAGTTATTTTTTTAGTCTATATTTAATAGACCAAACATCCGATGTGATAGGGAATAAACTTTAGCGGGAGTAACTAAACAAGGAATGAAATAATCTTGCTAAGATGCTAGTATCTGCTAATAATAAATATATTTTGTGGTAGATCACCATTGCCAATGCTTTGTTTAGTTTGGTGTTGTCTTGTCTGTATTGACCTGCTGTGTGAAGTTGCAGTGATAGACAAGTCAGGGGTAGGACGTGTAATTAAAAGTCCCCATCGTGCTCTGGGAGCATATACTAGTGGACATGGTCGGGCATATTAGCAGTAAAGAAAAAAAAAATTGAAATCCAGGCCAAAAAAAGAACTAAATGGTGAACCAAATCCAGGCCAAAAACTGAACTGAATGGTGAACCAAATTTGGCCCCTCTTGACTAATATGTATCTGCTCCTTATAGCAGCAGAGCAGAAGGGACACTAAATATCTGAAACCGTGTGGCCTTTGTGTGACTTGGAAGATGTGAAGGTCAGAAGAAGATTCAAAACAGAAAGCGAAAAAGTTGCAGCCAACACGAGCGATTCTTATTCAGAAATAATCTATTAGTATTATAGAAGGAAGAACAAATAAATAGATAAATAACTAAACCACAGGCGTCATGCACTTAAATGGGATCTTGCGTTTAACAATTTTTTGGAAGCAATAGCATACGAAAATTCAGAATCAGAAAGGCAGCAACAAACTAACTACTCCTAGTAGTGTTGTAATTTACTTCTTTTTCTATTTACAAGTAATGGAAGATTGTTTATTTGGGCAGAAGGCTTTCCATCAGGTGATCATGTAGAGTATTATCTAGTAGCAGGATAGGAAGAGGCAAATGTTTTATGCAGAAGACAAGTCATGCTTAATTTGTGGGAAAAAAAGAAAGAAAGGATGGCTGAAGCTGCTATTGCAAAAAAAGCCATGGATTGAAGAGAGAATCCAACCAACAAAGGGCTGTAAGTTGTTTCTTCTACATGTAGATGACATGTGCACACATATATAGTATTATTACTCTTACCAAGTAAGCACATATATAATTATATATAGTATATATGATGAATATCAAGCAGAGCGGGGAGTGGGGGCGAAAAAGAAAGGAAAGCGACATTTTTTTTTCTTTCCGATTGTGGGGGGGACGGCGGCGGCGCATAAACAGCTAGCAACTCTACTCATCAGAAATTTGTGTATCCACGGAAGAGGAGAAATTTGTTAATCTGCTCTAATTTGGGAATTCCTCGAAACAGAGATCCCTACTGATTCCACGAAACAGAGCAAGAGAACCCTAGTTAGTGAGCTCATCTGCGGGGGGAAGCAGGAAAGCGGGGACTGATGGAGCAACCAAGAAACAGCAGCAGTTTTGGGTGCAAGAGGAGGAGAAGCGATCGAGAGTGGACCGGAGGGAAATGAAACCGCAAAATCCGCAATCAAGAAAGAGGCAGTAAGCAGAGCAGAGGCGTAGGAGTAGTTGCTCACCAGGTGGGCGGCGGGCAGGTCCGGCACCGGCAGGGCGGCGGCGGCGAAGGCGGCGAAGGCGTCGTGGTCCATGGCGGGCATGGAGAGGAGGGATGGCGCGGGCGCGGGCGCGGAGGAGAAGGCGTAGTCGAACGGCGGCGGCGGAGGCTGCTGGGGCTGCGAGGAAGCGAGGGCGAGGGAGTAGGCGGCGGTGAAGCCGAACCCGGCGTCGGCGTACATGGTGGCTGGCTGCTTCAATTCGGCGTGTGCGGTGAGCGGTTTGGCTGGCTCTCTCTGTCTCTGGGCAGGGCAGTCGGCAGTGAGATCTAGCTGTAGTATGTTGAGACGAGTTCACCGCGTGAGCTTGTTTGTCCTGTGGTGGTGGCTGTGGCGGCGGGGTTTGTTAGAGGAGAGCAGCCTCAGCCATCAGCCCTCGGCAGCGGGGCAGGGGAGGGGAGGGGAAGGGGCGGTTGGTTGGTGTTGGTGACGGTGTCTGTGTCTGTCTGTGTTTTTACCTCCTCTCCTCGGCTGGGCTGGGCCGTGCTGGCTACGGCGCCCACTCGACTGCTACTGCCTAGTGGTGCCTAGTGGTAGAGCGGGCGGCGCAGGGCCGGAGCAGAGGCGGAGCCGGAGCCCGGAGTCGAAGGGAGGGAGAGGTGCACTGGTGGTGGTGGCACAGTAACATGCATATGCCTGCCACTGCCACTGCCACTGACGATCGCACGCAGGTACAGGGAGGGAGCGCCCCACTCGTGATCCTGAGCACGGGCACGGCCACCAACAACGAGTAGGCTGCTCAGCTCAGCAGCTAGATGGAGAGGCAAGAGGAGGAGAGTGAGTGAAGAGGCCGGCTGGGCCGTGGGGGTTTATGGCCGCCCGCTTTATAGCCAGCCAAGCCACCCAGCAGCGCACGGGAAGGCGAGCATATCAGCGAGCGCACGCAGGACGGCAGGAGGAAGACGACGAAACCAACAAAGGGAAAGGACAAAAAGGGGAGAGGAGAGAATGGGACAAAAGCGTGGTGGGCCCCTGGCGTTCGCCGTCGCGGACCCCACCAACAGTAACCCTACCACAACTGCATAGTACTGCTACCAAGCAAAGCAAAGCAGGGGCTGCTGTCCATCTCCACCATGTCTGTCTCCTTCCTCCCTTGTCCCTTGCCCCTTGCCTTGTTTGCCTTTGCCTTCTTCTTTCACGCTTTGCTTTGCTCCTCGCCTCCTCGCTCTCTGCTCTGCTCTGCCTCGATGAGATTGCGGTGGACGGCCGCACGCAGCTGCACCTCTCCTCGCCTCTCGCTTTGAGAGATTGTGAGAGCGCTACTGCTGCCTGCCGCTGGTGCACGCCATGCCAAGGCCGACTACCGCGCCGTGCTCTGCTGCCTCTGACTGCGAGTGTCCCCACCACCACCACCACCACCAGTCCACCACCGCGTTCAATTCATCTTTCATCAGTCACCACTCACCACCCAGTTTGGCTCCATCTCGTGGAGCCCGTAAAAATCTTTGTTTTTAATCCGACTCCTTCAGGTAAAAAACCCAAGTCATTCCTAACAGATCATAAATGAAAGTAAATTAACTTGTTGCTACTGCTAGCAACTCACTGCCTTCATTTTACAGTTTACCACCAGCAGCAGGCAGCAGCAGCAACTGAACCGTGCTTAGCATGATTGTACTCCATTCGGGACAACATACCATGTTGCTAACTACAACGCCCATTTGCCTTTTGTCTCAACCAAATCACCGGATCCATGCATGTTTGCATTTGCAGGCTACTCCATCTCCAATCATCAGCCACGACGCATGCCCACGCCATCAAACATCCATCCACGCTTACAGCTGAGCAGTTTGTGGGGCCGACGGACCGACGACGCCGATCGTTCATACGAGCGGCGACAGCGAAATGAACCGCGACGCGACGCGACGCGCTGTTGCTTTACAGCTCGCGCGCTGCGTGGCGTGGCGTGGCGCGTGCGCTCGATGCGACGAGATGGCATGCTATCCACATTGGCATGGCCTGCGGCGCGCGTTGGTAGCCGCCTAGCCTCCCTCCTACTCCGTACTCTGCTAGCTAGGTGGTGTTGACATCACGAATTCACAACTCAGGCAGTAGAAAACTAGCCGAGAGCTGCTGCGTCGTCGGCAGCGTGTGACGAGCATGAACTATTGGACTGTTCGTTGCGTCTCTCGCCTGCTTCCCGTCGTTGCACTTTTCTCTGTCGCGAGTTAACGTCCTTTTCATATCGTCGAGTGTCGACATGGTCTACTCTATATCTATTGCTTCAAACATGGCTTCTATTTGCACACAGTAAAATACTACATCTGTTCCAAATTATAAGTACTTGGACACTTTTTAGGTACGTGTAGTTATTACTATGCATGCCAAGGGTGTTGGTGCCCACGACAGCGTCCTCCTTCGTTTCTCTTCACATTAAACATTATCTCATTACTCTAATCTCTTCTCCATAAACTTTAACTGCTGCTGACTACAACTGATACCTCCTTGAATGCCGCTCTGCCCCTTCTAGCCACATCTCGAGCCCTGGGACGCCTTTCATAATGGCGCCCCCACATCACATCTCTCCCTCCCTCAACGAGCAGCTCATCCTCGAGCTAGAAGCTTGATAGCGGTCGATGAAGCTTTCGAGGTCTTCCCAGGTGGTCGATACTGCGGGCTCGCCTTGCCAATGTACCAACACCTGCTGCACGCCCCTGGCCAAACGAGTGCGTGTGGCGTGCTCTGGAATCGGCTGTGTCGCGCCGTGGTGGGCGGGCGGCAGCGCTGGCGGTGTTGCAGGTGGCATCCCCACAAACTTCTTCGGCATCTCGACATGGAACACATCGTGCAGCCGGACGCGAGGTGGAAGCTCGAGGCGGTAGGCGACATCGTTGATGATGGCTATGACGTGGTATGGCCCGTAGAAGTGGGGCCGAAGCTTCCCCTTGGTGACCGCGTGTAGGGACGCTGGGCGCGGTGGCGGAGGCACAACCAGACCCAGTCCCCAACAGCGTAGTGGACGTCGCGGTGGTGCTTGTCGTAGAAGCGCTTGTAGACCGCCTAAGCTTGCTCCAGGCGGGCATGTGCGTCCGCGAGGAGCTCATCACGTTCAGCCATGCTTTTGGCCATTGCAGCCACCCGTGTCTCGCCTGGCTCATAGGAGCGGATGGAGGGGGGCTCGTGGCCATAGACCACCCGAAACGGCGTGTCCTTGAGCGCAGACTAGAACGCCATGTTGTAGATGTATTCAGCCTAGGGCAGCCCGCGCAGCCATTGGCGAGAGCGATCCCCAGTGAGGCAGCGGAGGTACTGTTAACACTGGATTTTGGTCGACTTTGGAAGATGACAGGTGGACCCGCATACAGGAAGAAGGACATTCGGCAAACAAAACGAGCGGTCGGCTAAATGCTTGTGCGGTTGGTTACTTCAGAAGGTGGTGACTCCATTCGGGAAAGCAGAAGATGGCAGGCAAAGCCGATCGAAAAGATGAAAGTTGTAATAATAAAGGACTCTGAGAGTTTAGGGCAAGGAATCGTAGTTTCCAAGTTTGTTTAAGAGTTCCTTTATAAATCGTAGTCTTTTAGGACTCGTGTTTTGTCTAGGGTATAAATATTGACCCTCGACCATTGTAATAGGCGTTCACAACCAAATCAATACAACCGGCCCCGTGCCAACTTTCGAGTCCTTTTGTCGTGTCGTCGAGTCCTTCGAGAGGAGTCATCGATCCGTCGACCTCCGTAAGTTCCGACAACCTTGTTATCATGTTTAGTATCATGCGGTGGATTTAGACGTGATGCAAGTAATCTTGTTTGTTTTCAATGATCGTGCGGCGGATCTTTGCTTGACAATCAAGAAGTCTTTGCTTATGCTTTGTTTATGAGTAGATACCGTGCGGTAGGCGTTTGCTCAATATGCTTAGTGAAGGCAAGACAGTTATCGGCTCTATTAGATACGGCAAAATCTAAATAGATTCATTAAGTTATCCTGTGTTGCATGTTTTAAATATTTTATATATTTGTAACACACTTCTGCCCAATCTAGATTGATATTGTTCGGCCCTCTCTTATGATTTTATTCGTGCTTCAATGATCATTACTTTCGTATTACCTTTGCAAATAGATAACATGCTCGTAATGGCTGAATTATTTTAATCTAGATTGTCACATGTCGTGGGTTCATGCATGTTAATTACGTTTAAGCTTTGACGAAACTAGGTGTCGTGCGGCAGATGCAGGTTTTAGATTAGTTTAATCGTGTTTATTTGCACGTTCCTTCTTCATGGACCCCAACTCGGCTGGATTGCTGAGCTTGGTTATGCATTAACTCATGATTAATTTCACTTGTTCAAACATGTCTTCCTATGCACATGCATTCGGCAATCGGATCTTTACGTGTGCTCATCTTACGATTAGCCGAATGGTTTATAAACTTGCTGGCAGATAGCTTCCTATAGTCGTATGTCGTTGTAAGTGGCTTCGTGGTCAGTATATATGGAACTATCTGGTCTCACCCGACATGTTCCGGTTTGGCATTTAACTGTTTTATCCCTTGTTAGTTTTTTCAGGTCAAACTGACTGGCACGTTTCCGGATCACGAAGCACCCGGGCACCCAATTGAAGCCACGCTTTCCGGCTTGCTGTGTGTGAGGCACAGTGCGTCACATTTTGTGTCAACACACTTTTTGGCACGCCCGGTGGGACAATTTGTTAGTTCAAGATGGCGTCTGAGATCAACAATGATCATGTTCTGGATGTGAGCATGGCAGAATTGCCAGATAATTATAGGGATTTAGTGCTACAAGCATGTGAGCAATACCAACGGAAGTGTTTGATGTCTTTTTCCAAAAACAAGAGCAATAAAGTGTTTCAAAAGCAGTCAATGCCAAGGGTTCTTCTTCCACATCAAACTGATTACACCGAAGAGGAGGATGCTCAGAAGATGGCAGCCCTGGTTTATAAAGCTATGGGAGAAACCATGACAAACCATCACACAGCTTTTCTGAATACCTTTCGGGCAATCATGATCAGTACTTTTGGTCCAATGGTTGATAAGTACTTTGAAGAAAATGTTGGCCCACTCGGTGGACCGACACTTTTCAATGTTCCAAAGCATCAAGAGAAGCCTTTGGAAAAAGAAGGACCATCGACTTCAAATATAGGTGGATTGACTCACACCGAAAAGCAATCACATCCCACCTATGGCGGTAACATTTGGTACTACAGAGAAGTGCCACCTTCACTTTATAG